GACTGGTTCAAGGTCAAGGTCCCACTGTCAGTTACAGCACAGCCCGGCCTGGAGCCCACGTTTCTGTCCGCCCAGCCCAATGCCCTTTGTCCACACTCCCATACCCCGCCTGCCTGGAATGAAATCACATCCACCCTGGGGCTAAGGACAGCCAGACTGTTTGCCAGCAGTGGTTTGGCTAGCGTAGGGAAATGCCAGAAAAATGGAAGGTTTCTAATAAAAGCTGTCTCCACAGGCCCGGAGTGTTATAAGGCGCTCACCCACCGGCTCCACAAACCACCTGCACAGCCTTCCCCAACATTGGCAGCCCGGCAGCTCCAGGGGGACAGGCCTCCCCCCAGCGCTCCAACCCCACCCCGTGGTGTTTTCCCTTCTGGCACCTGGAAGGGGCAGACATGTCCGGAGCCCGGTTTGACCTCTACAGCTGTGGGTTTTCCCTCCCTTCTCTACCTGGGTAGCGCTCGGGGCTGGGACAGCGGGATGGGTGGTGGATTTGATTTTCCTGCTATCTTATACCTCTAGGTGAGGTTCTTCCATGCTACCCACAGGCAGTTCTCAAACTGTGTCCCATGGTTATATTTAGACATCCCTTCATTCCCAGCCTTCATGGAGGGCTAATGTCGACGTTATCCAAACACACAATGACAGTGTTTGAAACCACACCAAGAAGGACCCTCTGCTTAAAAGTCCCACATCACACGTAGCTTTGCCTCGATGCCTGCCCTGCCCCCCAACAGTCCAGAGAGAACGCGGCCAGCTGAGGCTCCTGTGGTAGATTGCAGACCTCCGCCCGGCCCAGGCTTTCTTCGGTCAGGAGAACCCAGAGGCGGAACCGAGGCCAGCTGAGAAGATGGATCGCCGTCCACTTGTGTGTGCTGTAATCGGATTTATGAGTGAGGGAAAATAGGGGTGTTAGTCCTTGCCTCCTCAGCCACCCAAACCCCTCTAGATATGCTTTGCCTCCGTCCCCAGTCCCTGGGAGAACCACCCCATCTTCTCACCTGTTGGAGAAGCACCATCTCCAGGGACCACTAGGTTGGGACACGTGTGGTTTGAGGAGTTAGGGATCCTGGGACTGTCACGTCTCTGTGCCTCTCAGGCAGTAGGGCCCGATGCTGCAAGTGAGATTGAGGGTATATATATTTCATTGATTTTTTACAGAGAGGAAGGGAGAGGGATAGAGACTTAGAAACATCCATGAGAGAGAAACATCGATCAGCTGCCTCCTGCACACCCCCTACTGGGGATGTGCCCAAAACCAAGGTACATGCCCTTGACCGGAATCGAACCTGGGACCCTTCAGTCCACAGGCCGAGGCTCTATCCACTGAGCCAAACTGTCCAGGGCTATCACAGACTCTTAAGTAAGGAAGCCACCTTCAAGATCAGCCAGCCTGACCCTCTCACTTTGGTGTGATTCCATAATTACTTATTTGTATACTAGAGGCCTGGTGCACGAAAATTTGTGCACTGGGGTAGGGGTCCCTGCCCCCTCTCACAGTCTGGGAGCCCTCAGGGGATGTCCTACTGACGGCTTAGGCCTGCTGCTGCCATTGCCGGCCGCCTGCCCTCCTCGGCCCTTGCAGCCACTTTGGCTTTGTCCGGAAGGATGTTCAGAAGACGTCCGGTCTATCGGGTCTAACTAGCATATTATCCTTTTATTAGTATAGATGGAGTACCCGCCATGTGCTAGAGCTAGAAAGATGAAATGGTCAAAACCATTCTCTTCCCTCGAGGGCCAGAAATAGGATGAAGAGACAAGCTGGTCTGCCAATAATTAGAAACACTGTGATAAGAACTGTGACTGTAACAACAATGAGGTACCATCTCACAACTGTCAGACTGGATATCATCAACAAATCAACAAACGACAAGTGCTGGAGAGGATGTGGAGAAAAAGGAACCCTCCTGCACTGCTGGTGGGAATGCAGACTGGTGCAGCCACTATGGAAGACAGTATGGAATTTCCTCAAAAAGTTAAACATGGAACTCCCATTTGACCCTGTGATCCCACTTCTAGGAATATATCCCAAGAAACCAGAAACACCAATCAGAAAGGATATATGCACCCATATGTTCATAGCAGCACAATTCACCATAGCTAAGATCTGGAAACAGCCTAAGTGCCCATCAGTAGATGAATGGATTAGAAAACTGTGGTACATCTACACAATGGAATACTATGCTGCTGTAAAAAAGAAGGAACTCTTACAATTTGCAACGGCATGGATGGAGCTGGAGAGCATTATGCTAAGTGAAATAAGCCAGTCAATGAAGGAAAAATACCACATGATCTCACTCATTCATGGATAATAAAGACCATTACAAACTTTTGAACAATAATAGATACAGAGGCAGAGCTGCCTCAAACTGATTGTCAAACTGCAGTGGGAAGGCCAGAGAGGGTTGGGGGGCAGAAGGGAGGGGAGTAAGAGATCAACCGAAGGACTTGTATGCATCCATATAAGCATAACCAATGGAGGCGGGGAAGAAAAAAAAAGGACACATATGTAATCCCCTTTGTAATACTTTAAGCAATAAAAAAAAAATAAAGCCAGGTTGTGATGCCAAAAAACAAAACAAACAAACAAAAAAAACACCTGTGACCGTTCTGTACAGAGTGCAGGAGGGACCAGCCCTGTGGGGGGAAGCATCACATACACAGAGCAGGTGATGGCTGAGCTGAGTTGTGAAGAAAGGTGGGTGAGGATAGAGGCTGAATGAGGACTAAAACCCCCATTTCTAGGCTGGTGCTCTTTCCCTACAGGGTCACTGTTTCTATCACCTGGAGATGACTTACTGAGGAGGCTGGAGACCTGATTTCCCAGCTGCCTGCGGTGAGGCACCCGGAGCAGCATGTCCTGACTCAGCATCCATCGGCAAGACGGGATCTGCCTGGGCAGTAGAGGGAGGAACTGAGAGACAGCCCTCCAGGCAGACAGCAATGAAGATGCAAATCCTTCAACAGGGTCCAGTGGTTCCATTTGTCCTGGGCACAATGCCTGGTGCCCGGGATGCTCAGAGGAGGCAGATGTCTTCGCACAAGACAAACCCAACTCAGAATGACAACTTGCTGCATGAAGCGTGCAGTTAATTACGGAGTGACTATCCAGTAAAGATGAAGTTGGAAAAAAATAAGTGAAGTTGAAACCTATTGCTCTTTATTAATCTCTATATTGATAATCCCTCCTTTAAAATATGAATGAATCAGCATTTTTATACTCGTCTGGGTGACAGAAATAAGAGAAATACGAACATGCAGGCGAAAGGCTGAGAAAGGAGTGCTACAGGGAGGTCCTGGGATGGCTTGAGGGATGTAGCCTCAGTTCCGCCGTGACCTTGCCGGTGGCCTTCCGTGGTCCCCTCTCCTGGAGTCAGTTTCCTCACCTGTACAGTGAAGGCTGGGACACCAAGGCATGTGCCCGTCGAGTTTTAACGTGGAGACTTTTGACTCTTGAACCTAACACCTCCGACCATGACTGTATCCCTGCCGCAGGTGAGGTGGAAAACAGTATCTCCTGGTGATCATCTTGCACATCACTTGAGGGAAGGAACATAGCCAGGATGGAGGAGAAGCATATGCCCAGGGCTTAGGACTGGGTGAGCATGCGGGAGGATGGGCTCAGGGACCGGAGGGGGGTCGTATGGTGGTAAGAGGGCTGGTCTGGAGGAAAACAAGGGAGGCGGAAGGGGCTGTAGCTAGTTTTGCCAGTTACTGGTCAGGTGGCCTTGAGCGAGCCTGCTCTCCTGCTCTCCATTCCCCCAACCTGTGGTTTAATTTGGGGGGAGGGGGACAGCTCTCAGGATTCACTGGGGTGTCCCTGAGCTGGATGGAGGGTGCAGACACTCCACCATTGGTCTCCTAAGCTGAAGTCCCCAGCTGTCTCCTTCACCCCTTCCTAGGGTCGGGAAACTTGGATCATAAAGATGTGGAAAAAAACAAATCCTTTGAAAAGGGCCCTGTTCTTTCATTTGAGACAGTGGGTGTGAGTCTCAATAGGCCCAACCCAAACATGGCCTCATACCTAATTCTATTTATTCTCCTTGCGGTAGCAACCTGGGCAGAGAGATGTGGCTCCCCGAGGGCAAGGAAGGTAAATAAAAGAGTCTTAATTTGTAGCTAGCTCATGTTTGAAGTTCTAATTTTGTAGCTTTCCAGGGTGAGCCCTATTTTGTGGTCTAAGATGGTCTGGGGTATTATTTGCTAACCCAAGCCACCGTCGTCCACCTCAGCCTGCCTACATTCCTCTTCTTTAAAACTGCTGCTGCTCCCGGCCTGAGCTGGGCTGGCACCTTCCCACTGAGCGGGCTGGGTTTTAACCCACCGAGCTGGCTCAGTAATGACTATCCTCTCACCTGGGCCCAGCACGGGCCCAAATAAAAACCCAGCTGCGAAATCAATGCAGCAGTCAAGGCAGCGCCGCCGTGGCTTCCGACACTGGTTTTTGCCAAGTCACCACCAGAAAGCAAGAAAAGTCATCTCCGCATGCTGAGTACTGGCTGTTCTCATTTTCAGTTCAATATTCCTGACTCCAGGGAGGCATCCCTCATGGCTCCGACTGGCCCGTCTATCCATCCTCCGCCTCTGACCCCTTTCGGGGCTTGGTCTGGCCACCTCACACTTGAGGGACTGGTAGGGGACTGTGCTTCTGCAGCCAACCTACAAGGACCCCCAAACCCCACCCCCCACATTAACATTTGTCCATTTCCTCAAGGGGGAGACTTCTCAGCAAAAGTCTTCTTTGGATCAGTCTGTACCCGCCCACTCAGGCTGGCCACACTCTGTAGTTACCATTCCTGTCACCCATGGACAACATTACACAGTGTGATTTACCACCATCTGTGGTTATTAACACGTCAGTGGGCAGCACAGAATACCAACCTCAAGAGCTGTGGTCCTGAATAGCTTTCTTACGTCCTGGGATTGTCTTTAACGTCAATTCCAGGTTAATGAATGCCACACACACCGCAGGTGCCTAGGACAAGGCATGGCCTTAAGTCGGGTTCCCTGGAAACTGGTGATTTGGGAGTGGGAGACTTTACTGCCTGTTCCCACTCCTCTTTTTTGAAAATAAGCCCTCAGATAGTGATGCTGGCACAGGCCCTATGTCAGTCAGCACCCCCCCCCCCCCAGAGAAACAGATCAGTAGGTGATGTGTGTGAGTTTTATATATACTTTTTAATATACAGGTTAGTTTTAGATGTAGCTAGACATTCTTGAGTTATTACAAGGAACTACATCATTGTGGGGGGCTGGCTAGATGAGTCCAAAATCTATTAGGCAGGTGGCAGGCTGGAACTCTCAGGTAGGAGCTGCGGCTGTGGTCCACCGTGGAATTTCTTCTTTCTCTGTGCTGACCCTAAGGATTTTCAACGGATTAGATGAGGCCCACCCCAATCACCCAGGACAATCTCCTTAAAGTCAAAGGACTATCGGTCTTAAATATCATCACCGCAACAGCTATATCTGTGTTTGTCTGAATAGGGTATATTGCCTGGCCAAGCTGACACAGAACGAATCATCATAGGCCTTGCAGCAGGAAAAGCGAACCCATCCCCCAAACATGTGTTGATTCCAGTCAAGAGGAATTGTTGCCAGAGTGGAAGGGTCCTAAGGTAGTCAACTTTTCTTTAAATGGCTAGTTGTGGCCGGTATGGCTCAGTGGTTGAGAGTCGACCCATGAACCAAGAGGTCACCAGTTTGATTCCCGGTCAGGCCACAGGCCCAGGTTGTGGGCTTGACCCCTAGCAGGAGGCAGCCAATGTTTCTCTCTCATTGATGTTTCCCTCTCTCTCTCCCTCTCCTTTCCTCACTCTCTCAAATCAATTAAATATATAGATTTTAATATATTTTCATTAATTTCAGAGAGAGAGAAACATCAATGATGAGAGAGAATCATTGATTGGCTGCCTCCTGCACGCCCCCTACTGGGGATCGAGCCTGCATCCCAGATATGTACCCTGACCAGGAATCGAGCTGTGACCTCAAACACTGAGCCACACTGGCTGGGCCCACCTTGGTCTTTCTATCTCTGCACCAACCAGTCTGGATGTGGGCTGCCCCCGGGGAGGGCAGGAGGTGTGACTTTGGGGAGGGGGCTCTCTCCAGCTGAGAGCTGTTGGCACCAACACTCCGGAGCAGCTGGGAGAATGAGTGCCTCCACTCTGAAGGGGGAGAATCCGGGTGGCACACCACAGCAGCCACCCAATGACTGTTTTCTGCATCTCCTATGAGTGCCTATTTGTACTTTGTAGTACTTGTCTACTGCTGCAGGATAAATTACCCCCAAGCTTAGTAGCTTCAAATAACAAACATTTATGACCCCATAACTTCTGTTGGTCGTGAATCTGAGCTCAGCTTAGGCAGTGTCTCTGGCTCAGAGTCGCTCATGAGGTTGTCACAAGCTACTGGCTTGGACTACAGACACCTCAAGACTCTCCTGGCCGGAGAGCCCACTGCCAAGCTCATCCACGAGGCTGTTGGCCGGCCCCAGATCCACGTTCAAGTTCACTTACGTGGTTGTTGGCAGGCTTCCGTTCCCGGTCATGCTCGCCTTAGGCTGCCTAAGTGTTCTGGTGACCCGGCGGCTGGTTGATTGGAGAGTGAGAGACCAGGCCCAACTAATCTTGGAAGTGACATCACATCACTTCTGTCATATTCTATTCCTTGGAAGCAAGTCACGGTGTCCAGCCTAAAGAAAGCAGAGAGGATGCACAAGGGGGTGAATACCGGGAGGTGAAGGTCATGGGGCCGTCTTGGAGCTGCCTGTCCCAAACACTGACAGACACCGAGCTGAGCATTTCACCGGCATTGCTGTATTTAACTCTCACCATGACCTTCAGAGAGTTGCTATTAATACCCTCTTTTGCAGATGTAGAAACAGGCTCAGTGTGGTTAAATAACTTGCTCATAGCCTCACTAATTACTGTGTAGGAGAGAGAAGATTGAGCCCAGGTTTGTCTGTGAACAACCTGTGTGCTTCTAACTCCTTTATTGTACTGTCTCCCTCAACAACATCTTGGGAAGGCTCAAAGTGGTTGCAGAATATTGAAGCTAAACAGGGCTCTACCGTGCTTTAGGTGCAGGGACCGAGGGACCTGTCAGAGGCTCTAAAACCAGGCATTTCCCAGCTCAGGAAGTTCAGGAATAAAGCTACACACAGAAGAGCAAGCAGGCCAGAAGACTGGGTGGAGAGGAATTCTGAAAAGGTTGTGTTGTTGGTGAAATCATGAAATCCTCCTTCCTTTCCCGTTCATAGTTGCTAAGTCTGGATGGGAAATCTAGAAACAAATGATCTATAATTATGACTGAGGTGTAATCAAAAAGCTAAGCTTCTTGCATAAGGGACTGTGCAAAGGTATAAGCTCTTAGTAACGGTTAGACCGAAATTCGAGGGCTGTTCCAAGTTGTCTATTGCTGTGTAGCAAACCACCCATATCTTAGTGGCTTATAGCAATAATTTATTTTTAGTGGTTCTTTGGGTGGGCTGGGCAGTTACTCTGCATTTAGCTGGAGGGTCAGCTGAGCTGCAGGGTCTGAGATGCCCTCGCCCACATGTCTGGATCCTCGGTGGAACAGTTGGGACCCCTCCATGCGGCCCCTCATCATTCAGTGGCCGCCTGCCCTTCTCCACTTGGCAGTCACGTGCCAGGAGAATGAAGGCAGACACTGCAAGACATCTTGAGGCATAGGCTCCAGAACTTGACATTATTTTTTGAAACTATTTAAAAAAAATGTTTTTATTGATTTTGAGAGAGAGAGGAAAATTATTTTTTGAAACTATTTTTAAAAAATGTTTTTATTGATTTTGAGAGAGGAAGGGAGAGGGAGAGATAGAAACATCAATAATGAGAGAGAATCGTGGCTCGGCTGCCTCCCACACGCCCCCTACTGGGGATCAAGCCCCTCGGCTGCCTCCCACATGCCCCGTACTGGGGATCAAGCCCTCAACCTGGGCATGTGCCCTGACCAGGAATGGAACCAGAGACCTCTTGGTTAATGAGTCAATGCACAACCACTGAGCCACACCAGCTGGGTGGAACTTAAACATTATTTCTGGCCCTAACCGGTTTGGCTCAGTGGATAGAGCGCCGGCCTGCGGACTGAAGGGTCCCAGGTTCGATTCTGGTCAAGGGCATGTACCTTGGTTGCGGGCACATCCCCAGTAGGGGGTGTGCAGGAGGCAGCTGATCGACGTTTCTCTCTCATCGATGATTCTAACTATCCCTATCCCTTCCTCTCTGTAAAAAATCAATAAAATATATTTTTAAAAAATACACATTATTTCTGCCACCTTCTCTGGTCAGAGAAATCACAAGACCAGCCCAGATTCTAGGGAACTGAGAGTGGCCACACCTTTTATTGGGAACTTCATGGAGAAGGGTGGGTGTGGACACGCGGTGTGACTCATTGGGGATCGTTGTCATTATCATTTACCAGGGAGATTGTGAAAAGGGAGTTTATGCTTAAATTGCAAGAAAGCAGCTCTTGTTATGGCACCGGCGTGGGTCGCAGGCCCATGAGAAAGGGCTGCCCTGGGCCTGCGATTCGAAGCGTTGCCTCCGCAGGCCGGTCTGTGCGGGGCAGGGCGCTGCGGAGCTCGGACCCGTCAGCAACAGAACACAGGCGACGTCAGATGTTGGAAGACGCATGTCACATCACCCGACTGGACACAGAACTGCGTCCAGGCCGCTGTTGGAACACCACGCACCTCTGCCCTGCTTCAATGTAAGTATCAACGTGTAGCACAAAGGTACTTTCTTGAATTTTTAATTCACTTCCAGAAATAGGCTCCTATATCGGCCTATCGGAGGAACGCCTATCTGACTATACGGGTCAGGGTCCAAGTCTGAAAGCCGCTGACTGCGTACATGCTGGGGTGGGCGGAGTGCCCACTGGATAGCCATGAAGAAGAATGTGTTAACATCAGTATCCAGTCAGAGTTGCACGATAATAAGAGAAGGAGAATGGTAATTCTGCGACTGGGGCAGTTTCCTTCCGTTCTAAGAGGTTTGAAACAAAGGGAACCTTGAACAATATGATTTCCTTTGAATGGCTCAGCGCCCTCGTTGGAATCCTTAGACGGAACCAAACAGGGCGGGTCCCGAGCGGGAAAGACTTGGGACAGAAAGCAGTGGGTCTTCCAGCTGGCTCCAGGAACAGCCCTGATCTCACCACCTGACACTGGATCCCATCATTTTACTGTCAGTTTCTGCCACTGGAACATATGCTCCCTGAGAGCAGGACTCTCTCTGGCTCACTGCCGAGTCCCCTGGCTCCCTCCGTGCCCTGCACGTAGTAGGTGCTCAGTAAACATTTGTGGGACAAACGGGGAAGCGGAGGGACGGATGGAGAGGGGTAGGAAGAGGGACCTCATCCTAACAGCCATGTTTTATAGTCCCTGCTTTTCACGGGGTGTACTTGAAACGCTGTCTCCATCTGTGCTTGTTTTTCTTCAAACCGGTTCAGAACCCAATTATGATCTTTTTCCCCCCAAATACTGGTTTTTCTTTTCTTTCTTTTTTTTTAAAGGTTTTTATAAACATTGATTTTTAGAGAGTGAGGAAGGGAGAGGGAGAGAAACATTGATGTGGGAGTGTTACATGGATCGGCTGCCTCCTGCACGCCCCTTACTGGGGATGGAGCCTGCAACCCGGGCATGTGCCCTGACTGGGAATCAAATCGGCACCCAACCATCTGAGCCACACCAGCCAGGGCCCAAATGCTGTTTTCTAGGATATGTTCGGATCACTGCTCCGCTGGTCAGAGTAGTGTTACTGAAACCAATCAGCATGGAGCCAGACAGCACGGAGGGAAGAGAATTAATCACTCTAACTTTGGCTGGCAGCCTTGAGGACACATTATCTTTCAAAAGGAGGTCTGCAGGGTGTGTGGGCTGGGCAGCCTATTACCAGGACTAGAGACAACTGATAGTAGCAGATAAGGATTGTTCATTTTACCGAAAAACAAAAACAATTCATTGAGCAAGGAGACCTCAAAATGTTGTCAATGGAGGATGAGGAAGAATTAAGCAAAGAAAGACACACAAAGGATATGGCTACTTTTTTTTTTTTTTACTTTGAACATTAGCATTAGGTTGGTTACCGTACACATCCAAAGGCCCAGCATCTCGGAAATATGAAGTGGCACACCTTGTACCAGAGTCTCACAAGAATAAAATAGACAATGCTACATCAAGTGGTTAAAATACACAAAAAGTAGTTTTAACAGTCTATAAATTTTATATACTTAAAATCATGATTGAGTTGAAATAAAAAAGTGCATTTCAATTGCTAAAAAAAATAATATTGGTATAGTTAACACAAGGGGGGGGGAGGGGGATCAGTACATTGAGGGATCTGACAGGATGCTGGGAAAAGATGGCTCCGGGAAGCTAAGCTAGTCTGGAGACTCGGGAGGAGAGCTCTGTCCACCTCCCTGCGGCCCCCTGGGGCCCACCAGCTCTCCTCTCCCCTGTCTGTCCCATCTTCAGAGATCCCGTCCTACCTACCGTCACATCCCCAACCGAAACTCTTCTAAACTCCTTTGCAGCATGAGAAGTACCTGCCCTACACGAGTCAACTTGACCTTCAATTGCATCTTGGCAGAGGCAGGAGGGGGACACTGCCCCCTTCTGGACTTGACACAAGTACCCCGGCCACACGGCCTTCATCCTTACGACCTCGCAGGCAGAACAGGGACCGAGCAGCTTCTGTTTTGTCAAACTCCTTTGGACAAATGTTCAACATTCAACAACAAGCTTTGTAAACCCAACACTAAACAATTTCTGGCAAGCAAACTGGATTTTCTTTTCTCTAAGAAGTGAGGAAAAGTGCAAGTGATTTCAGTACTGTCGGGGAAAACACAAAACAAACAAACAAGTTACACCTGGCCACCTGTTTTCTAAACCGATCACAGCTTCAGTTTCATTTTTTTTGTCAAGTGTTGGAGTTACGAGTGGACACCTCTGTTGGCCGGGGGTGGGAGGTGGGGAGGGGAAGGGAAGGGGAAAGGAGGCAGCTATGCGTGAGGAAGGCCATGCCCGGGGCAGATGCCTCCTGGCCCTACAGGGAAAATGGTCAGGGTCTCGTGTTTCCCCTTCGCTGATTACCGACCTGCTTACAGTGCAGAGGCTGCTGCAAGGAGCACAAACAACACTCGTGGCCAGAGAGCTGATGAGGGTTCGGAGCCCTATGACAAGTGGCAGAGAGGGAACACACACTGAATTCTAACTGGAGGAGTGGCTGCTGCAGGGGACCTCCCTGGCCCTGGGGCTTGCTCCTGGCGTAACAGACACCCATTTGGAGCAGAACAGGTGAGAAGTACTTCCTCCTTCATACTCCAGAGTTACCTCCGCCGCTCTTGTCCTTCTCAGAGACGTGTTGGTCCTGCACTGGTGGTGGGATTTGGAAGAAGGGGGGTCGCCTTCCTGCTTTAGCCCAGAGCACTGTCTCGCTGGCTTTCGATCTTGGGCACCGTTATTTTAAAAGGCTAATTAAGATGCCTGGCCCGCAAGGAACTCTGACCCACACCTCAACCTTTGTTTGCATCATGAAGGCTGAGCAACTACCGGACGCAGTAATAAGGGACAATGTCTTAAAAACCAAGATCTATAAATAAGCATTGAGTCAAGAGGATGTTCCTAGGAGAGTTGAAAGCAGGCCCTTTCTTTAGAAGGCTTAGAATAAATAAGCTAAAGTACTTTGCTGCCCCCTTGTGGACAAAGCCGGTACTGCTGATGAAAGAATCGTATAGTTCATGTCAAGAAATAAACACACATTTGAAGGACTCCTCTGGCTTTCATTCATATATATATATATCCTTGGGGATGCAACTTTAGAAATAAACAGCAAAATTATGCCACATAGTTTTTGTTTTTTACTTTTGAAAAGCTAATGAGTTGAATAATTAAGCACGGATATTTCTGGGAAGGTTAGAGATTCTAAGAGTATTTCCCACCAACTTGCAAATGCAATTAAACAGAGCCTTTGCCCTCTGCAGGTCATGAGTGGGCATCTCTGTCCTTCTGATCACACGGTCCCCTTCACCTGTAAAAGACAGGTAGGGGGGAAGCTGGGTTCCTTCAGAGGAGCTGGATATTAAGAAACAACTTGATTTTTGGCACATCCGGTACAGACGTGGCTCTTTGATCAAAACCAACAATGCAAGTATCAGATTTCCTTCTGACTTGAAGCAAAACTCAGCTCCTGCCCCTTCCGGCCCCATCCCATTCCCCACATGTCCCCTCATCGTTTTTAAGGAACCTGCAACATCCCCCGTCTCACCAGAGGAAGCCCAACTTGTGTAAAAGGGACCTGGAACTGGGAAGCGGAGGGGACATGTCTCAGGGCCCAGGGCCCCGTGCTGCCCGCACCAGACGTTTCCCATCACGGACGACGGGAAACGAGCCAACACGGCCTCTGGGATGTGGCCCCTGCACGTGCGAACCCACCATGGCTCTCCGCTGGTCCTGCCTGTGACTCGGGAGGGAAAAGCCACACGTTTCAAAGTGGTTACTTCAGGTAGCCAGTTGTGACCGAAGAGAGGCCAACTTCTAGATCAGTAACGGGCTGTCAAGGCAAATTAAAGCGAAAAGAATTTGAAACAACAAGGTACCCTTGCTACCTATTTCTGTAGAAAGTGACCTCTTGCACTTTGTAAACTAGCCGTCCCCTTCCAAACAGCCAGTGAAGACTTCCAATATCTTACCTGAACTTACTCATTATCAAACACAAACCAATTCTCACCATTGTGCACCGTCCCACCAAAACATACTGTGGCCGGACAAAAAGGACTCAGTTCACTAGCAGCTGCCTTCGAGTCCCACTGCATGTGGCTATCGGTCTGGAAAACCTGAGCATGAGCATCATTAATTTGCAGGAAAGAGGCATGACACTTTACGTCAAAAGGAGAGATCTTAACTAAGGCCCAACCACTCAACTGACTAGCTTTCATCCACTTAAAAAAAACCAACTCACTCCCATTTCCTCATTTGAAGGAGTTTTCAGTTTTGGGGAGAACTGAAAGGGAGCAGGGCCCTGTGGGCAGCACAGACTCCAGTTCTGACGGAAAGATTGGCCAACTGCTCACATGTTTTATTCATAAGGTGCTCATATCACACGGAGAACACACTGCAACCCCCTTTTTATTACATCCTTCATATATTATCTATCAACCATATTTAAAAAATTAATTAGATGAGAACAAGTAGAAAAGAAAGTAACGGGAAGTTTTTGAGGAGGATGAGAGAGGCAGGGCAAAAGCCCATCAAGGACTTATGATAAACCCAGAGAGCACCTTTAAATGATGCGATTAAAATACAAGTATGGGTACAAGCTTGCAAAATATTTCTGGGAGAGAAAGGGCACGCAGGAATAGGGTATCGCAACAGCAGCATCAGGATCCCTTAGCAACAGGAGGCCGTCAGGGGGACCAGGACGAGGAAAAGATGTTCAAAAGAGATACTCAATGACCTTTCCTCTTAAAAGAACATCTGGTTTCTGGTGAAAGGAAAGAAAGAATGAGAGAGACAAGGATAAAATGTTTCATCATTAGAGATGTGGTATGTGAAGAAATAAGATATAAATAAAAGTTAAAAATGCAATCTAAACATGACATGGGGGAACAGAACAAATACGTTCAAAATTCTCGTCCACGGTGTTAGCTGTTTTGTAGAGCCAAACCAACTGGAATAGGGTGAATTTCAATACTCCTGGAGAATGAAATAA